CTGATAGAAAATTGACGAGTTTTGATGAAAGATTTCTGCTTAAAAGTTGGTGTGTGTAAGATTACTACTAAAATTGATATAAAACTCATAAATTTCTTAGATCTACATTTTATAGCTTGTTACTTGTGAATAGATAGTTTGTATATTTCTTATTGTCCTTGTCGATCACTATGTCCCAAGTGGAGCGGCAGCGGGAGACTACCGGTACACTATGATATAATTGGCCTTTGTCGGCGAGCATATGCAGCCGCATCATGATCACTTATGATTTCCGTCATGGATTTGATGCAGCATGCAGCAGGTGTATGCCTGCAGGAGGTAACTGTCCTGTTTTCTTCTGCTATGCTGTCACGGCTCTTGCAATAGGGACCGCCAGCCCTTGTGCCGATGCATAAGATTGCGCTCACTACCACAGCCTACCCATCTCTATTTTCCATACAAAAACCATACTTACATCCGTAAACAAGATGGTCTTCGGTCTTCTCTCTCTCGTCGCAACAGTTCCTTTAACAGCATCGTCCGTCTTGACGCTCCAAGAGCAAGCCGAGAAGAATGATAGCGATGGCCCTAGCTCGGAATGGAAATACGAAAAATGCCATATACGATGTCGAGCAACCAAAAGGACGCCAGAGGACCGCAAACAAATGTTCCAGGACAGCCGCGTAGTGATTTGCGAAGGCCGACTATACGTTCAGCTGTCCACATACCAAGGACCGCATCTCCATCCCTTCTCTGGCTACTACCTACCATTCCCCCACTCCAATTTCGACGGCATTGTCTCCACAATTTCAGACAATCCTCCACAGTTAAACTGGGTATATCTAGACACCAACTCCGACATCTTCCACTTCAGCCATGGATTGCGGGTAGAGGCGGAAGAAAGGCTGCCCGGGCCATGGGGTGCCCGCGTCTGCTCCGATGGCGAAAAGCGATATCTATTCGAGAACTGGGAAGGCTTCCTCGCCGTGGAAGATGAAAACAAGCCCGGCTTATGGAAGCTCTGCTTTGACAAGCACGACAATGGGCTCGAGGGTAAAATACGAACAGGCCAAAGGACAGTAGAAGTGGAGCTCATACGCGAGGAAATGCAAGACTAGTATCATGATGCGTAGACTGCTCCTTTATTATTCAACTGTAGTACGTTCCTGTGAAGTCTGCATATTCGCCTGGATCCAGTTAGACAGCAGATTGTGGAACGGCCCGTTCATCCCGTGAGACAACAAGGGGCGCAGCAGCAAGCCGTAAGCCGTGTTTATCTCAGCTGCGAGTCGTGGAACAGGGGCGTTGTTAATCCAGGTATCCGAGACATCCGAAAGACTGCTTTCGCAAATTGATAAGAACATGTGCATAAATAATATGGCTGTGACTACAATACTATGTATATTGTGCTTGGTTGATAGTAACATATCTTTGATACTTGCTTAACAGGACACTAGCAGTTGGCATAGCAATTATATTAGTGCATGAAATGGCATGGAGCGATTGATTGAGATGGTGATTTACTCGCAATTGAAATGGTCATTAAACTGGCGCACATCAGTTGAAAAAAGTAGACAGTGACTAAGATAGATGTTGATATGATGACTGATCGGGCTATTGAATGGGCAAGTTGATTGACAAGCGATTGTGATAGAATAGGGCGATTGAACTGGCGGTTGAGATGGGCATAGCGATTGACTGGGCGATGTAAATCGTAAGCTAATTAGCCTAGACGTCAACCTAGCAATTAACATACTACACCTTATTAAGCAGTATAGTGTAGTAAACCTAGTCATCAAGCTAGTAAATATAAAGGTGGAAGGGTCAAAGTAAAGAAACTTAGAATGCGGCTGACGCGTGTTCTCCGGCGATCCCGACCTGACGGAACTGACGTCGACACTAGCCTCACATTAAACAATCCAGCTTCAGCTTGCATAGTGGGGTGTTTACCCTGACTCTACACGGTCATGCTATTACCTGTAGTTATTCTCTGACTCGCTCTATCTTTGTTTGAATTGCTAACTTCTTACGGTGTTTCGAGTACCTTTTTCTCGGCAACCCTCATCATATGCGATTGCGTTCCCCTCTTCATTGTGTGATTAAAGTGCGGAACGTATGGGTACATTGAAACTCTAGTTTTACGCATCTAATTACTCAACAGTTCTAGCCACCGCAAGGTCATCGGGCCAATGATCAGTCTCGTTATCACTGTTGGCATGGCTGTAAGGACGGTTTTCTCGCGCAAGCTTCGGCCCACATCTTTCATATTTTTTGCTAGCTGGTATCACTCTTATACTACTCCTACGCAACTAATACAGACAAGAGGTGGGATAGTTGCCGCTTTAGCTACAGCTTATAGTTGGGTTACATTTCACGTGTTTCATTCATCAGTTTATCCTAGTTTTTTACCACCACCGTAGCCTGTCGCCACCACGGAGGCTGCCTACTGCTATAACCATCTAACTACAGTTTGCATACCAGCCACCATATTCGTTGTAGGTGCTCATGATGCAACCATTGCCATTAGATTTGCAAGCAAACCCCTATCAGCCTATTAGCAGTGTTGCTTGTCTCGTAAGAAATGTTTATCATACTTTACGGCATGTCTGTGGTTCGGGCGCATCAGTAGGTGGTGGGTAATTTGCCACCATGCACTTTCCTTCGACCACATCTGACTCAGGGTTTACAAAGCATTGTGTCTAGAATAGTATTAGAGTAGGTAAGGTTTTACTAGGCGCAAAGGGATAACTTGCCCACCACTCGATAGTCGGATCCGGTTTAGGGGCAACCTGCGGTTCAGGAACAGGATTTCCATAGGCTATAAGGGCTGAGGCTAATAAGAGAGGAATAGAAAATAACATCTTTAAGGCAGTATAAATTGTTTAGAGAAAACGGCTGATAGTAGATAAACTTGACTAGATACCTGTAGCTGAGTATTTATGCGTAATAAACACAAAAATAGTTTTCTTTTCATTATTTATAGTGCGGCATTTAATCTTAAAAGACGCGCACACGATATAGCGCTTACTACTCTCTTGGCTTTTTAGTACACTTTTTGTAACGATGTTACAACTTCGCCAAGTATTAAGCCAATCCTAGAGCTAGATTAGAGGAAGTACCTGCCGCCCTTTATTAGCCATTCGCCCGAGGTTGGATCCGAATTTGGACCTAACTAGGATAGGTATATATTAAGACACTCCCTATAGCTAGCTCTATAGACTTTTGATATCCTTTCGTACAAGGCCTATAGGTGGCTTGTTAAATCTAGGCTCTTTGTGATCCCACGCACTCCTATATGCCTCTAAGTGATCCTACAACTAAAATAGATCTAACCTGCCTTACCTGCGCCGTTACATTATATTAAAAGTCTCGTCCTAGCTAGTAACGGCTTCTAAACAATATCGCAGCTGTTTGTTTAAGATCACGTCTAAGCCCTAAAGTTATCTAGAACTAATCTAAGTACTTACACAATTATATCTAACATTCATTTTAGGCAGGATCCTATAGATCTCCTATTAACTAAGGCCTTTAGGTTTAGAACTTCTACGCTCCTCGCGAGGCAGATTACTTTAGAAAAGTCGCGTAGAGTGCGCTAAGGTAGAGACATAGAGACTACTAATAACCTATTAACCTTAGAGGCAATCGCTAATAGTTAACCTTACAAGAACTAGAGGTTCTAAGGAATCCCCCTAGAAATTAGTTTAAATACAGGACTAAACTATTCTAGAGAAGAAAGCTAGCAAGATGCTAGCCTAGGAATCTCTAGAGACTTCACCACCATAGGAAGTAGAAGACAAAGACAATTTGGAGCCAGAGCTCTCTATAAAGGACGTCTGTAACGGGCTGAACGCCCTTTGGATAGCTCCTCGATGGAATCTCGGGCCAAGCTGCGCGCGCACCATCTGAACTACGTTCAGACCGAGCAGCGCTTAGACAACGCGCTCAGATACTCCGGCATAACCTTTCTCTGATAAGTAAATAAACACCACGTAAGCAGAGTAGATAGCTCCTTATTGAATACAACCTCTTGTATACCTCGCGATTGCTCCCTAGAGCGCAGCCCCTTACATTTTATATTCAATCCCAATTAGACATAAGCCTTAGGCAGACTATCTTCTAACTAAGTTTTAGAGCGTGTTGTTAGTGCGAGCTAGTAACACGAAGTTAGTGCTGTAATAGGTACGAAAGGCCTTCAGTGCAGCGAGAAGGTAGACCGTCGTAAGACAGTACACCTAGGGCAGAGCTTCGCAGGAAGTTCAGCCGTGAGAGACAGTAGGCGATTTAGTCGCCCGGGACCTGTCTAGGAAGTCCTACCATGTCTTGGAAAGCCGAGCCGTAGGCGCAACGTCGCGTGATAAACTACCTAAAGGCCACTCGGGCCTAGCGTACAGTTAGCTAGAAGCGGACGTTGTAGTGAGAAGTCCTGTCGATCCTCTATTGGACAGGGTGCAGGCCGTGCGATTACTCTCAATCAGAGACAAGATCCCACGAGCGAGACGGCAAGACGCGAGTCTTCCTAGGGACGCGACACGACAGCAGCCAAACGCTGTTCAGAACTAGCTAGAAGAGAAGTACGGCCGAAGGTAAGCCCTACTAGTCCTCACCAACAAGGAGTAGGCCGCAGTCAAGGACTGCGCGAGCGGATCGAAGAGCGACCGGAAGCCCTGCATATTAGCAGGCAAAGAACGAGACGTCCAAAACGAATTAGGCAATGGAGATTAACGTTCCAAACTTGAATGTGGAAGAGCTGGCGGCGTACGCTGCTGCCAAGAACCAGGCAGGAGTATCAGATGAAGAGATCCTGCGCGAAATTACACAAATGCTTAGAGAGGACGGATGGAAGGAGGCAGCAATTAGGCCAACGATTGAAGCGGTCGCCAAACGATCGGCC